GGGTGCGCGGGCTGCGAGCCCCAGACCCCGGAGGTTGCGCGGGTTGCGCGTTTCGTCCGAGTTGTCGGGGCTGCCGTGTCCAGAGCCGCTGAGCCCCAGCCCGCGGGCCGCCTCCGAGCGCGGGTCGCGCAGAAATGTGCGTTTGTGGCCCACGGAGCCCGCCCGGGCGCTGTCGTATGGGCACTGTGCGCTTGGAAACGGGCGGGAATGTGTTGCTTTAATCGGAAATAATTTATGTTCACACTTCGGGGTGCAGGGAAATGAAATTTTGTCATGAAACATGATTGGGAATAATTTTTGAAAAGGCAAGCCAGAAATGAACATATATTCGGGGGGAAAAAGGGGGTGATGGGCTCCACAAATGGCCTCAACCCAACCCATCAGTCGCTAGGGCACACACACTTGCAGGGGCTGCCGCTCTTTGGTCGATGCGTCAAAGCTCCTCGGTGTCATGGCGATGGCCAGGGCCTGGCACACTCACACGCCCCCCTTTTGAGGGGAAAACCCCACGGAAGGTCTAGGGGAGCTGCGCTTGCACGTCAGAGAGTTCTGGAAAGACCGGCTCTGGCTGCACTGCGCTGCCCCCTCACCTTTGCTCAAGACTCCGGGAGGCTGACAGCACATGCTCAGCCAGAGAGGCGCACACAGGTGCTCGGGCAGACGGACCTTGTCCCCAAGAGAACCTGAAATGATTTTGTTTGGGTGAGGGTCATAAATCTGTGCTGTGGGAACAAGTCTTTCTTTCTGCGTCATACGCCATGTCAAGTCTTTACCACAGCTGGGTGCAAAGACAAGGCTCACATAGACGTGACAACCAGATGCCTGTCCCAGCCCAGGGAGGGAGCTGTGACGGCCTGGCTGAGCTCCTGAGCTCCTGAGGCTAGTGACTGACCTCCCCTGGGGCGCTCAGGTACCCTGAAAGGAAAACACCCAGAAACCTGGAAGGCTGTGTCCAGGCGGATGGCAAGCGGGGGCTCTTCAGGGAGCGAAATCGCCCATTTATCTGGGGCCCCTCCCCCTCCTATCCTGCCCGGTAACAGGGAGCCAATCTTGCTGCCCCACCCCCTGGACAAAAGCTGGGGGGAGGGGGGGAGGGAGGGAGGGAGGGAGGGGCCTGCGTCACTGCCACTGCGCTCTGGCTGACTCACTGCGGAGAGGGAGGGTGCTGAGGGGCAGGACACGTATGACTCTGCATGTCTGCGCGTGGCAGGAGCAGGGAAGGCCTGGCGAGTTTGACGCCTGCGCTGTTCTCTGTTATTTCTCCTCCAAGAAGCGCAGGGGCATTTACTGATGACTTCTCTGTTCCAGCAAAAACTGTGCCAATCAGACTGTGGTTCACCAGATTTTGGACAGGGTGCTGTCGAAATACGACATCCGTCTGAGGCCGAATTTTGGAGGTAAGACGCATGGACACCGGAGGCTTTGTGCTTGGCCCCTCCAGCCAGCTGGCCAGTGATGCCCTTCAGGCCCCGCAGGCCTGTCCCTTCGGAGCCCAGCTTCCTGACCCTGCACGCGCCAGCCCCCCCCTCCCAGACCTTTTGCTCTGCCCCTGGCATTTCACCCACTTCTCTGCCTTCTGATGCAGGAGACCTAGGCTGTGCACACGCGCACGCCCACACCTGAAGTGCTCTCCCTGGGGTAGCCACAGAAGCAGCAGACAACAGAAATGGGTGTCAAGACAAAGTGTACTGTTCAAGTTTCTGCCCCGTCTTTGGGGGCGACTCCTTCAGAGTTCAGTCTGCCCGGGCAAGCCCCAAGCCAGGGCAGGAACTTCTCCACCTAAGTGGCCTCACTTGGCCCCAGGCATTGCCACTCTGCCCTGCTCCCAGCCTTCAGCCCCCACTAAGTTCAGGCCCTTCGGGGCGCTGCAGTCAGATGACCTGATAAATCCAGGGGTCACCTTCTCAAGGCTTGATGCGGCCACAGAGGAAAAGCCACTGCCGCGCACGCTCACCAATGCACCGACACGTTAGCAGGCACACACATGACCCACAGTCACTCCATCACACCATGCTCCGTGTGTGCACACACTCACGGACACATGACCACACATTCACTGGCACACACGTTCATGTGCTCTCACGTCCATGCACACACACTACTTACAGGCGTGCCTGCACAGGCGCCCACACAACACTGCAATATTTAGCATCTGAACACGAACACACAGGCTCACAGCCACGCCGGTGCACATGCGGGGACACACACATGTTCACACAAGTGAAAACAGGAGCGCACTCACTTATGCAGAAACACATTCACTATACACATGCTCCATCCCCATGCCAACTGCCCGCGCATCTGCCCACAGGCAGTGTGCACACGCACTCAGACGGGAACACACAGATCCAGCCTAGACGTGCTCAGCTGCACCCAGGCACACAGGTGCCATCACAAACCCCCGGCTTGCAGTTCCCCAGCATACTAGTAAGCGCGCGTGCGCACTCCCGCCCGGTGACACGCCTCCACACTCACACTGGAGCATTTGCCCCTCACAGCACACTCACGCACACGGAGGCTCGCCTACAGGCGTGCCCACACGCACGACACACACTGACGCAGTCGCCCATACCACTGTCCCACCCGTGCGAACATGCTGCTGTCACACGTGTGCGTGGCTCCCATTTGCCACACGCATCCACACACACCACGACGCCCAGCTTTTGTCCTTGGTCGCATGGACCCCTTTAGAAAAGGGCGGCAGCCTCGTGATTTCCTCGTGTCTCTTGGCCTCTCGCTGTGGCGTGGGCAGGCCAGGCCAGGGAGTGCTCGCAGCATTGCCGTTGCCGTCGGGCCCATGGGTAAGCGGTTCGTCAGAGCATGGAGGGAGGTTCCGCAAGGTGGCCCAGAGGCCCAGGGCCGAAGTAGGGTCCTGAGCCTGCGGCAGCGCACCCCACCCGTGACAGCGCCCCTGTGTTGCAGGTGCGCCCTTGCCCGTGGGGATATCTATGTACGTGTCCAGCATCGAAAAGATCTCAGAGATGACCATGGTAAGTGTGCCCTGGGTGGCGCGGCGGGCGCGTGGGCGCGGGGCTGCTCTGACCCTGACGGCGCCCCGTGGGCCACGACAGCCAGCGGAACAGAAGGGAAATGACCCCGGGGGGCTCTCGCTCGGCAAGGGTTTCTTAAAATCGACTCAGAAACCACAAATCAGGAAAAGAACGCAGGCGATGTAAACGCTATAAAATTCTGTTCAACCAAACCTTGCAGGACTCCTGTCTGCCGAACCAGCAGAACCACAGTGGAGCACAATATTTGCCACCCAAAGGGCTGACACTGAAGACATGCATGACCCCTGCAAATTCAGGCAAAAATACTTTCAAAACAATAAAGAAGCATCAGAACATTTGAACAGGAACTTCATTTTCGTGAAGAAGTCAAGGAGCAGATAAACTTACGCACCCATGCTGACCCTACTAGCCAATGAAATGCAAAATGGGGGGCCACCCTGTACTCAGTACAGGCCACCCTGTACCCTGTACTCACCCTGTACTCAGGTGGCAAAGCTGGGGGTGACCACAGACCAGCTTTGCAAGGGGGGCGCTGGGGCTGCGCCTCTGCTCTCGGGGGTGTGAGCTGGAATTTCCGCATCATGGTTCTGACTTCAACGTGCTTCTTGTGTGAATTACACACATGGCGTGTGGCTACGGGACTACCTCGCCCTGGGTGCCACAGTGAAGGAAAAAAGCAAATTATGCAGTCTGATGATCTGGGGGGAAGATGAAGAATGTAGGTCCAACTAAGCAGTCAGATTTGCAGGAATACTTTCGCAAACAAACAAAAATGGCAAAATGGGAGTTTCTGTGAGAATCGCAGACGCGGTTCCCTCCTTCAGAGCGGCCTGGGGCTACATTCCGGGCAGCTGACAGGCATCGGCCAGCTTCTGTTTCTTAGCCTTGGTCTTCATTCCAGGAGGTGCATTTACTATTCTTAACGTGACCGTTCTCGCGTGCATTTCATTGCTGACCTAGCTCTGAGGTTCACTTTGGAAACCCGTGTGCACACACACTCTCCCACACGGAGGCCTGGACAACCTCACTGAAGTGCGGGCTCCACCTTTTCTCTCCCCAGGACTACACGATCACGATGTTTTTTCATCAGACCTGGAAAGATCCACGTTTAGCCTACTACGAGACCAACCTGAACCTGACCCTGGACTATCGAATGTTTGAGAAGCTGTGGGTCCCCGACTGCTACTTTCTCAACAGTAAGGACGCTTTTGTGCATGACTCCACTGTGGAAAACCGCGTGTTCCAGCTTCACCCAGATGGAACTGTCCGCTATGGCATCCGGTGAGTGCCTGCCCTAGGAGCCCGGGCACTGTCCCAGCAGGCCTCTGCCCCTCAGTAGCCTCAGAGGCACCGTACGGGCACCAGAGAAGCCCAGTGCTTGCCAGACCTCTTGCTCCTGTCCTGCCAGAGTTCCTGGTTCTGCCTTCTTTCTATACAAGGCAACTCAGCTTTTTTCTGGCGGGGGGGGGGGGGGGAGGAAAGGACCAGCTGCGGGAGGGTCCAGCTGCAGCCTGGGCATCGGGGAGGCTAGCTGGGCGCCCCCGGGGAGTCGTCCAACCCTCCGCCCCAGGGCAGTCTCCGGGAGGGCAGGTGTGACCCCCTTCCCTCCCTTCGCAGGCTCACCACCACCACTGCCTGTGCCCTGGACCTGCAGAACTTCCCTCTGGACACGCAGACCTGCAAGCTGGAGGTGGAAAGCTGTACGTGACCCACGACCTGCGGCCGCCCTGCCTGTGGGGGTGGCCGACGGGTACCAAGCAGACTCACCAGTGAGCGGGAACACTTAGTTAGCTCCCCTGTGCTTCCTCCCGGCTCCTCTCCCCTTCACAGACAGACAGACGGCGCCATCTGGGAGAAGGAGGCCTGTAGGGTAGAAAGGGCCTCTCAGAGGTCAGGGACCTTGTATGCGAGCCGATGGGCAGCAGCGCCCCTCGCTGTGCTGCCCTCCTGCCGGGGAGACGCCACAACTGTTCTCTGCCCGAGGCCCCCACCCTTGCTCAGAGCCAGCGAAACCTGAAGGAGGCCCCTCCCCAGACTCTGGCTGCCACCGTCCTCCGCTGGCCAGACTGTCCCGGCTCACAATCTAGAAGCTGCTGTCTCTGTCCCCTCGCAGATGGCTACACGGTCGACGACGTCATACTGTACTGGGAAGGCAACAGCAAGGCCATACGGGGCACCGAGCAGCTGCAAATCCCGCAGTTCCGCTTCCTGGGAAAGACGACGATGAGCAAGGAAGTGCTGTTCTACACAGGTGCGCGGCCTCGGCTCCGGCCTCTGTCTCCTCTTCGCTGTTCTCCCCCTGCGCCTCTGCCCTGGCGCTCTGCGCTCTCCACTGTCTCCTTCCTGTTCCCTGATGCTTCTGGACACCTTTCCTCCCCCAGGTGGAGGCCCGGGGGTTGCCCCTGCCCAGGCAAAGTGGGCGTGGCAGCCCCTGGCAGGGCCTCGCGTCCTCCTTCCGCTTCCCGCTGTGGAGTTTGCACAGCGTCCTTGTGGAGGCCTCGGTTGCCACGCGGCAGCCAGGAAGGGCTCTGGGAGAGAAGACGCACTGGCCCTCAGGGCCACAGATGGGGCCAGGCCTGCGGGGCGCAGCGGGAGTGGACCACACTGAAGTGCCCACAGCTCTGCTCCTCCGCCTGTACGGCCCCCCTCGGGAAGGGCCCACAGCGTGCCACCCTGATGCCCGTCTGCCCCCTTGCCAGGCTCTTACATGCGCCTCATCCTGAAGTTCCTGGTGCGGAGGGAGATCACCAGCTTCCTGCTGCAGATCTACTGGCCCACCGTGCTCACCACCATCATCTCCTGGATGTCGTTTTGGATGAACTATGAATCCTCTGCAGCCAGGGTGACGATTGGTAGGCCGTGGGCCCGCCCCACGGGAGAACGTGGCGCGCCCTACTCGGGAGGAAGCCCTCGGGTCAGGGGAACGTGGGCAGGCGGAGAAGCAAGTGGCCCTGGCGTGACAGGGCCAGACGGGGTGGGGGCGTGTCGGCTGCTGTGAGATCATCCGGGCATTTCGATGTGATCCCAAGGGCCGCAGGCAGTCCTGGGGAGGAGGTGCCCAGAGAGCTTTGGCTGAGGGCTTCTCCACCCCACATGCCCTTGGCTCCGTTCCCATGAACGCGGGCCCCGTGACTTGCCAGGAAGCTCTGCCGCTGGAGGGGCGAGCCCGTGCCATGTCCTTCACAGGCCTGACTTCGATGCTCATCCTGAATGCCATCAACTCTCACCTGCGGATGAAGCTCCCTCAAGTCTGCTGTATCAAGGCCATCGACATCTACATGGTCACCTGCTTCTTCTTTGTGTTCCTGTCCTTGCTGGAGTACGTCTACATCAACTATCTCTTCTACAGCCGAAGGGGAAGCCGCCGCCAGCGCAGGCGCCAGAGGCGCGCCCGCAGAGCCATGGCCCGCTACCGCTACCAGGAAGTGATGCCACAGGTTTGCTCGGCTGGTGCCAGCGACCCCGAGGGCCCTGGGCCTCCCCTGAGCACTAGACCCTTTCCCGCTTGCCACCCCCTTCGGTGCTGGGCCGCCACGCCCCCAGAGGACAGGGTCTTGGCTCCTCTCAGTAGCCTAGCCATTGGCCGAGGTCGCCAGACTAGGGAGTGGCAAGCTGGATTTCCCCAGGCAGGCACACTGCCAGGGGTGGGGGAGGGAGCAGAGGGAGGGGAGCTAGCGCCCTCGTTCCTTTGGTCTTCCAAGTCCCGCAGCCTCGCTGGCAGCCCCTTGGCGCCTCATCTGCACAGGAGCCCTCCTGTGAGAGGCAGCCTCACCTCTGTCCCTCACGGGACACTGCAGGTGTAGCAGCCCAGGAGGCAGACCTGGGAGGCCCCGGCACTTCCCGGCATTAACAGTCTCTTGGTCCTATTCGTCAGCCCCTGGTGCGCCACAGACGTCCGGAGGAGGAGGAAGAGGAGGAGGTGGAGGAGGAGGAGGAGGAGATAGAGATGTCTGTGCTGGAGGCCGGCAGCCACGTCCTTGCGCTGGAGGACAGCCCCCGCCCCCCGCGCTCCCCAGAAGTGATTGTTCACCCCAGGAATGACCAGGCCGACTTCATGAACCTGTCCACCGTTTCCTCGAGGGACGAAGTCAGCACTGAAGATGACGAGTCGTCGCCCTTCAGCCCCATGCAGGCCGGCCTGGCCAGCCCAGACAGCCTCAGCTCTTTGGTGTCCATCCTGAAGCAGGCCCCACTGGCTACCGCCGAAAGCCTCAGCTCACTGTCCTCTCTCTCAGACCAGTCCTGGGTGGCCGCTGGAGGCAGCCTGAGCGACCTCCCCTCTGCGTCCGAGCAGGCCCTGCCCAGCTACAGCCGCCGCGCCGATGACGAAGGCCTCATTCCTACTGAAATCCGAAACCGTTCTGAGGGCCACAGCCGCACCGAAACCTGCGACCCCGAAGAGCCCGTCCTGGATGAGGCCCGCGGCCCCAGGGCCAGGCATCCACTTGCGTCCAGCCAGAGGCGTGCGCGCAGCGCCAGCCTCGACCTGGAGGAGATCCGCGCCAGCCTGGAGGAGCTGCACAGCCTGCCTGACGACGTCCGAGTGGAGAGCGGCTACAGTGACCTGGAGAAGGAGTTCGAGCGTGTGGTGGATACCACATGCAGCCTTCAAGATGACTTCGTGGGCTTCGACGAAGACAAGGAAGACAAGGGCAGTAACTCCGAGTCTGACGACAGCGGCCCCCCCAGCCCCAAGTGCTCCTTCAGGAAGAGTTTCTCCTCCAAGGTCTTTCACCCTAGGTACATCCCCAAGATCGATAAGTGCTCCCGCGTGCTCTTCCCTCTCGCCTTTCTGGTGTTCAACATCATCTACTGGGCCTACCACCTGTGCTAGACGGTGGCAGGCCGGCCGGGCTCCTGCTCCGCTCGTCCAGGCTCTGCTGGGCCGGCCGCTCTGAGTTGGTGGGGAGTGGGCCGCCCGCTCAGTTGTGCCTGCTCCTGTCCTCGTGGGTGGGGTGGGTGGAAAGGACGCGTCCTGGGGAACGGAAGGACCGCAGGTCAACCGCACACTGAGTTTCCTCGTCTGCCACAAGATGACAACCCTTGTGAAGCCTCCCAAGCGGTGGCAGGGCAGAAAATTCCCTAGAAACGTGGAGAGGACAGGAAGGAGCTGAGCGCACAACCACTTCCGGGGACTTTCCTGCCCAACTGAGTTGTTTCTTTTTTTTTTTTTTCACTTTCTTCCTTCTGTTTTTTCCCTGCTGGGCATCCTGGTCCTTGCTCACCCGCTTAGGGTTTTATGGGCGAAAGGCAAACTGAGTTGAGGTGGGTGCGACGATACTGTGTCCTGGAAACCCTGGGACTTGGGGTTCGGAAAGTGCCTTTCACATACTCTCTCTTCTGTTGTCTGTTGTGTGTGGCACAGGCTGGGACGTGAGTGGCGCAGGGGGTGCCAAGTGGGATGGGGCGAGAGTGCCCGGTGTCAGCAGGCGTGAGCAGGGGGCTGCTCTGGGACCAGAGGTCGCCCAGCTAGAGCGGGTATCTTCAGAGGGGGTCCAGCTGACCTTGCCACTATTTCTGCTTCAGAACGCTTGACCCCAGGCTCAGTGTGTCTGTGGACTCCGGGGGCTCAGCTGCCCTCGTCACAAAGCCCGTGGTGGAGGAGGACTACGCCAGGAAAGTTCTAACTAGCCCACCGCCTTATCCGGACCAGCAGCTGAGGAACTGTTGTGAGCAGGTACTAACCCTTTCTGTTTGTCGAGTACACAGTCACTGCGCGTGAGCCCCCGCCACCGGCAGAGCCAGCCAGGAGCCCTGAGAGCCAGGACCGCAAAGCACACGGAGGCCCCAGGCTACAGGACATCTGGCTGGTGAGTGGCACTGCCCTCCCCTCGCCCCGGAGGGGAAGCGCCGCCAGGTTCCGCTGACCTTCCAGACCCTCTGACGGCGCCAGGACATCTCTGCGTGGGCATGAAGTGAGCGTGTGGATCCTAGCCACCCCCGGCGGGACTCCTTAGGGAGAGCTGCCTGTGCTGCGACCTGCCGAGTCCGGGGCTCTCACCCTCTCTCCCGCCGAGCATCCTCCCCGGCCTTCAGCCGCCTCCCCTGTGCGCTGTGCTCTGTGCCAGCGCCACTCGAGGAGCTGCGTGTCTCTGTGTGTGTTGGTGGGTGTGTGAGGGGTAGAATGATCGTATGTGTGTGCACCCGTTGTGCACCCCTAGGAAAGTTGTGTGCAGCTGCGGTTTGAGTGCGCATGTGTGTAAATGCGTGTGTGCGCCTGCATTTATGGACGCGGCGTGTGTGGGTGTGAAAGGACACACGCTGGGCGCGTGCGCACTCTGCCTGTGGTCCTCCTCGTGCCGCCAGATCCCCGGCCCGGCCCCACAGGCTGTTACGTGACTGTTTCGGTCCAGTCCCCTGTTCCAGGGAGCAGCATTTCCTGGCCTCCACCCGCCCCCCGCCCCCATGCGCCTGCGCTGCTGCGTGAATTGAGAACAAGTACATGTAGTCCTGGGAGGGACCACTCAGTGCCTTGAGGTAGGAAGTTTCAGTCATGGGAGAAACTGGGGACGCCAAGCGTTTGACTTTGTCCCCAGAGGACACGCTTGGGAGGAAAAGGTGGGGGAGGGGTGGGGGTGGAAGGCGGGGACCCCACTGTGAAGATGCACTGAAAGAAACAGGACTAGCCCAGGTGGGACAGCGGAGGAGGTGTACGTAGCTTCCGTCAGTCGTCCCTTTTCTCCAATCACCCTGTCACCCTGGCGGGGCTGGGCGGGAGGCAGCCACCAGCAGGCCGCACGCACACAGCAGCCCACACAGCCACATGCATGTCCACACACGTGTACGCAAACCCAGAAGCGCATGAGCACTTAGGGCCACACATACACCCCCATGCGCGGTCACACACATTGGCGCTCGTATTCACACGCACACACACACGTTCTGTAAGGCATCTAAAACCAAGAAAGTGACAGGAAGACTCCAGACCCTGGGGGTGGAGAGGCAGTTGCAAACATCTGTAGGCCCACGTAGCTGTGGTGAGGGGCTCAGTCCCCGCAGCCCACGCGGTCTGAGGGTCCGGGTGGGGACAGGTGGCGCTCCGGTGCTGCCCCTCTTCGGAATCCAGAGGCCTGTGAGCCCCCCGTACACTGCCAAGTGCCACATCTGCCCGTGCCCTTCCGTGTGCAGTGTGTCACCAGTGTCGTGTCGAGCCCCACTCCCGATGAGGCCCAGCTGCACAGGCACACCTCCAGCGTCTGCCTGCTCCCTTTCCTCTCTTTACCTCACACCAAGAATCTCTAGCAGCGCCTCTGGGGGGTCTGTCAGCCAGGGAGTGCTGTGGTAAGAGACTATGTGGACCTTGAGCGCCAGCACCCTCCTCCCCCAGCAGCCCCGTTCCACCACGGGGACTCTTGTGCCCCAGTGCCATCTTGTTGACATGTGAGACACGTTTCCGAGTGAGTTCTTGCCCGTCCCGTCTGCCATTGGGGGTGCCTTCGCAGAGGTGACGGACGCTGTCAGGGCTCCTGGAGCCCACCAAACGCATTTGTGCCACCTGTGTCTCCCCGTTAATAGCGAGGCCTAAAGCCTTCGCACATTGTACAACTTGAGTTTCACCGAGTCCATTGCTGTTCCTCATGAGGTTTCCTTACTCTGTACATGCTAGAACTAACCTCTTAGCTGCTCACTAGTGAACATGTCTGCTAAACTGCCCCGGCGCGCCGCTGTGACGTGAGGAGGCCGCCGTCGTCCGCTCAAAGTGCCGTGTTCGTGCGTGTTGTATGGCATCCTGTGAGCAAAACAAAACCTCTACTGTCCATGTTAGGGCTTGGGGGAGGGGGGAGGGGTCCCCTGTGTCTTATTGTGAAATAGCCCCATCGGACAGGGGCGCCTCTGTTGGCTCGTCTGGCCAGATGACACCCCGGGTCAGGAGTGGCCACAGCACTGATGGCCCTGATGGAGGCCAGCTGTCAGCCGGGGTGTGGAGGACAGCCAGGCAGTGCCCTGCTGGGCACAGGCGAAACGAGCAACATCATTCGGCTGAGTCCTCCTGGGCAGCAGACCCGGCCGGACACCAGAGCCGCTGCCCGCTGCCTGGGTCACATGAGCCACGAAAGGACACAGAGCAGCAGAGGCCCCCAACAGACCCGATGTCCCCCTGTCCTCGCTGAACATACACTTCTGCATGAAAAAGACCTTGCCCCACTGGACTTCTGAAAGGGACACACGAAGAGACTGTGTTTCCGGAAGATAGGCTGAGATGAAGGTTTGTAAATAGCTGAAAGTGCAAATAAATAAATATACAGTGGCAAAAACGCTGAGGTTCATTGCATTCCCTGCCCTTAGGGTTGGGAGGGAGCACCCTTGAGCCCCAGAAACCTCTGGCTTCCATGGCTCACCTCTGCCTTCCCGTGCCCCGGCACATCTGAACCCATGGTTTTCGTGGGGGGCGAAAATAGTAACATCACAGTGGAGATGTGTTCACACTTTGACGCAAGCCAGGCTAATCGCTTGAAACAGCGCGGTCCCAAAAGACAAGAGGGGGGAGAGTGACCTTAACGACCTGCCGATGGCATGGACAGTGTCTCTGCATCCAAAGTGCCCACTTCCAAGCACCTTGGGGTGCGAAGTGTGCCCTGGCCCGGCGGCTCCTCCTTTGGGTCCCTTGGTGCCCAAAGCGGGTCGGGAGCACTACGCATTCACACTCTGCTGGGACCCCCCTTGCTGACCTGGGCGCGGGCACATAGGTGCGCACAAGGGAGACGACGGAGTCAACGAGAGCAGTTTGCACCGTACCCCAGAGCCTGCGCTGCCGCTGGTGGCCGGCGACACCACAACCCAGAGGGGCAGGAGGATAAGAGGACAGAGGGGGTGTCGTCTCTCTCACCTAGTGGCTGACCACATGAGGCCCAACCTGTCACAAGACCCTCAGTCAGGAGAGGTTGCAGCTACGGCAGTGACAGTTCCAGTAACTTCACCTCCAAAATCTCTGTCCCCAAATATTTTTCCTTCTCACAATGCATGACTACACACCAGGGGCACGTCTGCTTATCGTAGCCACTCGGACACGCCAACAGCTGCTTCATCAGCTGTGCGTCTCTGATCTGTGGAGCGGGGGAGGGTCATACTAGTGTTAAAAACACTACAGGTGAGGCCCTCCCTGGTGGCGCAGCGGGTTAAAGCACAGCACTGAGAAGCTAAAGCCACTTCTGCATGAGTTCGATTCCCGCCCGCCCCGGAGGTGACCACATGGCGCAGCAGACCTCTCCTGACCCGCCCGCTGCTCCCTCAGCAGTGGACTTCGTCGATCTGCCTGTTCTGCTCCCCACTCTGTCTCTGGTGAAGCCTCTCACCGCCCCTGAGCCTCTGGCCTGTACCCCAGCTCTGTATGTACAAATAAATAAATCTTTAAAAAAAAAAAAAAAAACACTACAGGTGAGAGGATGTGCACCCGGCTCATGACTCATCAGCCCGAACTTCCAGCCTGGCCAGCTGGAAGGGGCATCCAGGGTGTGCAGCCTCTGGGGTGCAGTGTGGCCTTAGGACACCTTTGATCTCACAACAAGCCCGAGGAGCGCCCTTGAGCATGACCGGGCTCACTTACCCTCTTCCAAGCCAGAGATGCACCTTCTTTCTGTGGGTGTCTTCTCATCTTTAACCTCAACACGTCGGCTTGAAATCCCCACAGCTACCAGTCATCAGCGAGCGTCTGCTTCCTAGCAGTGCTTTCCCGCCTCTGGAGCGAGCAGCACCCTCCTGTGGTGGGGGCTCTGGTTGGTCCTCCCAACCACCCAGGCCACGCCCTGCTCCTGCCTGGGGCGCCTGCTGCATGTGCTGGTGTGGCACACCAGGCAGTGTCAGTAGCATCATGCGTCCTAACCCTTCCTCTCGGGT